AATCGCCGCATCACTCGCGGAGTCTGTGTCTCGGAATCGATGACTGATTTTTACAACCGATGTGTGGACACAAAGTGTACGTAATCTATGGTATGAATGGCTAATATTTGGACATTTGGGCCCATGATATAAGCGTTGAGTGGACGGCGCGCACACAGGGAGGCACTGGTGGGCCGACTGGCGAGTGAGTGCGAGACTGGCAGTGCGATTGAGGCGCTCATTGTGTGCACTCATACTCTGTGTGGAGAAGCGTTTCATTGGTTTCCGTGTGTTTACATACAAATGATTGCAAACACCAAACACTGATTGCAGTGTTTGTCGGTTATTGCCATCACATCCCGTCATACCTAACGCCATACCCAACACCACACGTCTTGAGCCGTTGGATCCGTTGTCGTGCGCGTGAGTGAGACACTGATCGCCATCATCAGCGAGAGTGTTGTAGCGAGCGATGAGTTTCGGTGGCGGACACCATCACCACAACATCACGTCGGAAGTGCTGCGACTGACGACGTCGTTGGCCGAGAGCACGACATCACTGTCCTCGTCGTCGGCGCAGAGGGACTACTCGCTGGCGGCGCGTTCGCTGACGGGTGGGGGAGGCGGTGGACCGTCCGGTGCCATATCGGACATGAAGGCTATGGAGCACCAGACCCTGAAAGTCCCGTATGAGATACTCAACAAGAAGTTCAGGTCAGCCCAGAAGAACATCGACCGCGAGATATCTCACGTCCAGAATTCGGTGAACGACTTGGAGAGGGCGGTGCAGACGCGAGGGGCAGAGCGGTCGGTGGTGGCGGAGGGCGAGGGCGGGTCGTCGCCGGGCGTCACCATCAACGCCATCAACGAGCTGTTGGACGGAGTGGTCGGCAAACTCTCGGTACTGAAGCGCAAGTCCAACGAGTCGTTGGCCGACGAGTTGGAAGCGGCCAACGTCTGCAAGAAACGGTTGGAACACCTGAAGGACTACTGCGTGAAGAGTGGCGGCGCCGCCGGGAGTGTCACCAATGAGGCGGCCGTCGCCCAGTGGAAGAAGAAACGTCTGGACCGTATGCTTGTGGACCACTTCCTCCGCAGCGGGTACTACGACTCGGCCATCAATCTGGCGCTGCGGTCGCAGATCGAGTCGCTCACAAACATCGACCTCTTTCTGGTGTCCCGTCAGGTGGAGGACTCGTTGAGAGCGCGCGAGACCTACCGGTGCCTGAGTTGGTGTCACGACAACAAGTCGAAGCTCCGGAAGATCAAGTCGTCGCTGGAGATGGCGTTACGGCAACAGGAGTTCATCGAATTGGTGCGAAAGGACCGGCGCCTGGAGGCCGTCCGACACGCGCGCAAACACTTCAACAACGCGGACGACGGCCAGCAGTCGTCGTCGAGCGGCGGCCACAACGCGGACCTCCAGCGAGTGATGGGTCTGTTGGCCTTCCCGGCGGACACACCCGTCGAGCCCTACCGCTCGCTGTTCGACGAGAGCCGTTGGGACGAACTCGTGGAGCAGTTCCGGACCGACAACTTCCGTCTCTATCAGCTGTCGTCGTCGTCCGTGTTTTCGGTGGCCCTTCAGGCGGGCCTCTCGTCCCTCAAGACTCCGCACTGCTATAAGAAGGACGGCGAGCGCAACGGCGACTGTCCCGTGTGTTCGCAGCTCCTCAACAAACTGGCCGCTCATCTGCCGTGCGCTCACTGCTCGCAGTCGCGGCTCGTGTGCTACATATCCGGCCAACCGCTCAATGAGCACAACCAGCCCCTCGTTCTGCCCAATGGCTACGTCTATGGCGAGCAGAGTCTGCGAGCGATGGCCGCCCAGAATGGCGGACGAGTCACGTGTCCGCGCACTCGGGAAGTGTTCGACGTGAAAGAGGCCGACAAAGTGTTTGTCATGTAATGGACAGTCTTCATGGAGTGGACAGTTGTCATGAAGTTAGTGGCTGTTGTTTGTGTGATGAAAATGTTGCAGTGTTTAAGCCATCGATTCAGTGAACAGTTTTTGTGTATGAATCTGAAGATTATTGCCAACTCTTTTTGATAACTCCTATGAATCCTATTAATATAAATCGTGTAGTTTTTAAATATTAGTTATAGTAATGTCTCAATTGATTTGTACACCAATTTTGTGCTCATTTATGATATGATTATAATTTTTTTGTATTACTGTTAAGTGTTTATTAATTGACATATGATTAGTGATAATAAATACATAATTGGACTCTAGTTTGCGATTAACTGTAATTCAAACAAATCATTGATAACTAACTTAATATATGCGTCCAATGAGTGAATCATTGGACGGAATCGGCGAAAGAGGTGCAGAAGTTGGAGAAGAAGGCGATCAGAGTCTAACCAAACGAGTGGTCATTGAAGACGATAAACAAAATGAAATTATAATTCATTAGAAGTTCAAGAAATTTAAATCGAAATTTAAGAAAAATACTATTAATATTGGATTAGTTTATTGTAAAAAATAGCTGAAAAAGTTTTACAGTTATGACAACTTTAGTATAACTTTTAGTATTGAATTGTTTGTGTTTTGAGAGATAATAAAATCATTTCATTAAACATACGGTAATAACAAGTGATTAAAAGATTGTATGAATGAGTGGTTTAAGTGGTCTTATGTGAGAGCAAGTGGTGGTGACAAAGGGGACAGTTATTAAAGGTAACCAAATCTGCTTTGTATGCGTGATGTGCGCACCGGTCGCACGTCCACTGTTTGGACGAGTCCTGAATGGGTCGACCGCTGGCCACACATATCGGGAACTTCATGTGACAACTCGGACACACTGTCAGCCAATCCGAGATCATTGTCTCACATGACGTGCACTCGCTTTTCGGCCAATTCCTCGTGTCTTTGGGCGGGTTTCGCGTGAATATAGCGATCGCCAGTTCCTCGTACTGTAGGCGCCGCTCCTCTGCGATCGCGTCACTCGACTCGAGTTTAATGAAGGCTTTGGAGCCGATAGAGAAGGCTTTGTTGGCACAACTGGACACACCTAACAGACAGTAGATCTCCTCCGAGTCGATGAAGTCCTCGTAGTCTCGCAAATGGAGCGCCGTTTTCATGGCTGAGTCGAAGTACCCGTCGTATAGTTGGCGCTGACATAGTATCAGGAAGTGATACGCTTCAGCACCTGTAGGACAGACAGACAGAAAGACAGTGTTAACGAGTGTCTAAACTGATGGTAAGGGACGGCACCAACCCTTCCACGGGTCGTCCAAAACCATGTAATTTGTGTTTTCAAACGAAAACGAGTCGTCGCTTAAGAGGGCGTTAAGAGCCGTCGACTTCCGGTTCGGACGGTTCGGCGACCGACGGCTCTCTTCGTGCAGAAGACCCACTAATGTGTATAACTTCTTGAGGAGAATGGGATCCGCTTTCCTATCCTTCTTGTAGTCTGCGATCACTTTCAATAACATCGCCGACGCGTCCGATATCTTGTTGGCCTTCCGGTACAGTTCGACGACATCCAAGTGCTTCCGCTTCTGGAGTAAGTGTTCCGCGTATTTGGATAACAGAGAGTCGATGTCCGGCACGTCGTACTCATGAGCCAAATCGATGCCTACTTTCCACTCAGACATTGTGACGCAACAGGCGATAGCCAGGTCTACCTTACGGGCCCTCCTGTAGGCGTCCACCGCCTCCCGACACATGCCGACCGACTCAAACGTACGGCCGAACTCCGCCAGAATCGGGTGATTGTCCGGTAAGTTGTGGACCAACTTCTTGAGGCCGTCGTAGTTCTCGAGCAGACAATAGCACTCAAAGAGGCGGTCGTAAGCGCCGGACCGCTCGTAGTGGACGACCGCCTCATCCCAGTTGTGATCGTCGGCCAACTGGTCGCCCAATGAGCACAAGGCGTCGCGCATCTGGTGGTCATCGCTGGTGCCGAAGTCGTTGCGCAACAGTTCCAGCACTCGCTGATACTGACCCAGCGTTTGGCGCATATCGACGGCCAGGTCTTTGCGGTCAACCTCTAAGTATAGGCGCTCCGCGGCGTCGAACTGGCCGTCGAAGCACAGGATCTCCGCCCTCTTCAGCGAGTCGTTCGGCAACTGTTTGACACGTTTCACGAATTGAATGCCTTTATAGTCGCGGCTCTTAACCATCGCGAGCTCAGCCACGTTCAGGTCGAGCGCCTGGAGCGCAGTGTCCCGTATGAGGCGCCACAGTCTCGGGTGCGACAGCTGTTCCGCGAGAGCGACCGCTTCGCTCAACTCGACGCCCGACTCAAGCAGTCGGCGCGCGTCGGACAGCCATTTGGTCTCGCAGTCAACAACATAGGCGCCGATCGTGAGCACCGGGTCGTCCGATTGCCGCGAGTCGGCCACCAACTCGTCCAGAAGTACTGTCCGGAGTGTGAGGTCTTCGAAGGCGCAGATGTGTCCGCTCGACACGAACGGCTCACCCTCTGACTCCAGGCTTTTGGTGTTGAATACGAAGAGTTTGGTCTTTTCGGTGACAGCGATGGCGTCGCTGTCATCGGCCGACCACTTCATGTCCCACACGTCGTGCCTCTCGAAGCCAACCAGCTTTCCGGCGGTGGTGTCGGCGCCGGACCCGCTCTGATGGCCGGTTGCCTCCAAGTCGTAGACGGATAGCGTGCCGATCGAGTCGATGGCCGACAGTTTGCTTGAGTCCCGATTGAGTGACATTTTAGAGGCGACGCAATTGGTGTCAAACTTGGAGATGAGGGTCAGGTTTGGCAGCAAATAGTGCTGAAAAGTGCGCGACTCTTGAGCCACAATCAGGTCCTTATCGGAGCACACGATGCATACGATTGGGTCGTTATGCGAGACGAATGTCGTCCGTATGGTCTCATCCGAGTCAATGTCCAGACCATCGATGGTGAGCCCCATCTGCGAGTACGTCATGCGTTGGGCGGCGATCCCTTTGGGTGCCGACGCGGCGGCTGAGGGGGCGTTGAAACGCCACAAACAGATGGAGTCCCGGGAGGCGGCGATCACTCGCGTGGCGTTCATCGCCAGGTGCTCGACGGCCATCTCGACGACCTGCGTGTCAACCGGCGTTCCGATGGCGTTACACACGATTAGGGAACTGGAGTCGCGTTTCTTGGAACCCCCGGAGGGCTCGTCGTATTTGGTGGCGATCACGCACTGGAGGGCATGGGATGCCATACGCAGCAGATTGCGGACACTCTTCACGTACTTAGTCTCGGAGGGGATGTGCCAGAAGACAATGGTATCGACCTGTCCTCCGCCACTCTGGGACTGGTAGTCGTCACCGGTCGGGGCGCCGGTGTTGGCCACCGCGTAGACAACGGTCGACGCGAAGTAACACCAGTTATAGTCGGGCCGTATGTTCGCGAAGAATATATACGAGTCGACGGCGAGGGCTATCCTTAAGCCCTCCCTTTCCCACGAACTCGCGTAGACCTCCCGTCCCGGCACTCGTAGCGTCTGCACGAGTCGGCCGCTCTGGTCGTAAAACTTGACGAAATTGCGTCGATTGTCGCCCTCCGTATCTGCACATCCCGTCACCGACAGCACCGTTCCCGTCGTATTCCAGCAAATACTGGACACTCGGATGTCGGCGTCAAACACGACGGGGTTGTCGTCGCTCTCGTGTCTCATGAGCTGTACTCTCCCGGTCTCGAAGGCGATGGCCAACGCTTGGGACGACTCCCTGGCCTTCGCTTGGGTCGAGCCGTTGAACCATTTAATGCCAATCACTTGGGCGGACGTGCCGTAGGCGGCGCTCCGGCTGTATATGCCCTGAATGGCCTGTAGGGGCACTTTGGTCAAGAAGTTGCCGTTTTGGTCGTACACGTGGACCTCGGCCTCCATAACGCCGAACAGTATGAGCCGTCCGTCCGGCGACCACTCGACGCGCGACAATCGCTGGCCCTTCAGCTCTTTGCCCCACAAACGGTTCCCATCGACGGAGCCTACGATCACAGCGCCGTCTTCGTAGACGATGCATATCTTGTGGCCGTCCACAGTCCAGGCCATACCCCGGACCACCGACTTGTTGCGGTTGTTAACCATCTCCTCATACCACGAGCCCTTATACAGCATCCATACGATGATCAGTCCGTTCTGGTCGCTGGACGTCAGCTTCTGGAAGGGTTCGTTCCAACACATGTTCTCAACGGTTCCCGAGTGGCCCTCCAGTGTCTGGTTCATCGAGAGGTTCTTCGACGCGGCCAACCCTTTGCCAACTCTGGCGTCGGAGGTGTCGCCGCCGCCCGACTCTAGTTTAAGGACTTTTAGGAGACCGTCGTCTCCGCCGCAGGCGATGAACCCGTGATCGCGACTCCACGCCAGACCCCGAACCTTATTGTTGTTGGGAATGGCTATCTTTTTGCTCAGGTAGACAAACATTGTCTATGTATGAGACTTACTCTTAGTGCAGAGTTTTGCACCACTTTTTGATTATGTATTACAGAATTCACTGTTTGTCCAGAATTTGCGAGACATGTACTCAATGTTTGTGTGCATTGAATGGCATTTGTTTTGAATTGTTTCGACACTCGAGTTACTAACGCAACCAATTCTGGATTCTTGGGATACACTCTACCAGTGAATCCCAGACTAAAGCATGAGTTTTACGAAATTGTTTTCTTTAAATGTATACCAATTTACACATAATTTAAAGTTAATTTGGTTATTGATCAACATTTTATTAAATTCTAGTGTGTGTTACTAATTCTAGTATGATTTGCAATTCAAACTTTGAATATAACTGTAATTATTTAAACTTTAAATTATTATGTATTTGTATTGTATTGTTAAGTTTGTTTGACTGCCTTTCCCTTTATTTGCTAATTACACACATGATTGGCAATCAGTGTATGAGATATGCCTTAAATATGTGAACCGTTTGCTGAGTAATTCATTAAACAAACCCAAAAAATCACTAAACATTTCCAACACAACTAATACATTATACAGTCATTTAATTTCAGTGCCTATTATGGGAAGCAATTTACACTGAATTCTTGTGTCAAATATGTTCACCACTTGCACTGAATATATCAATACTAGACATCTAAGACATACGA